TCCGGCCAAGTTCATAACATGACACCCAAACGCGAAGGGGAAAACTAGTGACCGAATTACCTAGGAAAATAGTGTTCATAGCGCTATTAGTACAAGGAGACCAAAAAGACAGAACATTCTGGTATCATCCCGGTTAATGCATAAAAAGCGTTATTATGTTGCGAAACTTGTGGCTTTGCACCCAGTTAGAGTTTTGTTGTTTAATTCCAAACTGGAATGGTCAAACGCTTGAGTTATCGTCTCATGCACTTAACTGATTCACAGTACTTGCGGTAGTGGGTATGTCGGTCGAACAGAGTGGAGGCTGTCCACAAGGATGTTAGAACATATTCAGCGAAATCTGGTCGCGAATGGTCCGAAGTTGCCCACCAGTTCAATCGCGCGGCCTATATTTGACTGCCTCATGTGTGAAAATCCACGTGAATCATTTACGATAGTCAGCCGACAGAGCACTGATGATTCGGTAATTAGGCGACCGAAACCAACTTTTGCAAAAGACTGAGTTCGTCGCCAGTCTCGCCTTGCCTTGGTGAGGCTGGTGGTCACTTTCTTATAAGCGCAATGCTGGGCAGCATTTAATGAACTTTGACCATTTTTAAATCACGAAAAACCTTACACTTTTAATGTCTCTGTACGCAACCTGGCCATTCCACAAACAGCATGTAAACGGCTGACCAGAATGGACGAAACAGTTAAATTCAGAGTACCCAGTCGAAATCTTGTTCTTTAGTTCAGTTGTAATAGTTATGAAGGGAAAACCTTAGATAAAGTGCAGAAAATTATATGTCGGCACAAATGCCGATAGTTCGTCCGTCATTCCCTATTTAGTCAGATTTCTGTTTGGCCAAAATATTACTAGTCACAAACTGACCACTTAACTGCTGTCGTTCGCTGTTGTTCGGCTGCTTTTGAAGCACATTTTATCATGTCGATGGCATGTGTCGCTGACAAAATCGCACCCGTCATGGGTGCATAAACGGACATCGTTGCCTTGAACGGTCAGAGCGAACCGTGGCAAATGGCAGTTAGTTGTCTAAGTAAGCCTCTGTGCGCCCAGTAGCGGCAACACGCCCCATCCGGCGGTTGTTGCGTTATTTCAAAAGTACGGCTTCTTTTCGCTTAAAGTACTATATCAAGTGAGCCGTAGGTACCACAGTCAATTTTGCGTCAATTGTTTTAGGTTAAATTAGATTGTACTTTAAACTACGTTTGGAGCAGAACTATGGCTGTTAGCACTTCGCTCGCTATCAAATACACTTTGGCAGAGATACTTGGAGTATAACAAACATTATTAATTCCTTTATCCATAAAAATAGCAAAGCCAAAAATGGCAGTCGTAACCCGTCCTAGTTGCACTCATGAGCCACTGAATATTTCCGCTAGCTCCGATAATCGGGGTATAGAAATAAGAACAATTTCCGTGACGAACACTTAAATATATTTCGCGCCACAAAAGCAGCTGTTCGGAAAAAGCTGCGGCTTTTAGTCCAGACTAAAAACCACGGATAAGTAATCCAGATTCGCCTTCAATTCAAGTTTTTAGTGAATAGTGTCCAAGCGTTTAGTGTATTTCCCACTCAAGTTGTCTTAAGCTTCTTGCTTTCGACTGTAACTAGCAATAGTAAGAAAAAAGGAGTAAGATCAAATTACTGAGATGGCGATTCTTCGTGTTCAACCTGCCGTCGTTATATATAGTGTCACTTAGCACTTGTTCTGATTATGGGCCATCTCTAGAGGAAGACATTCTGCTGGGTTCATTCCAGTGCACCACAATGTATCGAAGAGGTCGACGAATCAATGATTTAAAGAAACGATGAGTGAAATTTTGGAACCGCTGCGTCTATTCCTAGTTTTACTCAGAGATAGAAGCCTTGGCAGGTAGAGTTCAAAGCAACGCAAGAGTAAAGGTGACAAGATGAACCGAGTGTGTCTTTACAGTTAATTCTCGGTCTAATCCTAAAGTAGGCAATTGGAAACTAATTAGTTGTTTCGATCCCACATTGATTTTTCAAGCATTCTTATGATCTGGAAAAGCATGTGTGTTTAACAGTGATATCTTCATGATCGAGCTCCAAACCCTCTCCAGCAGACATGGAAGGAGTTATTTTTACTGGACTCATTCCTGCCTTCCGATACCAAATAGTTAAGTCTTGGGACCATTATAAATCTTGAATTACTCTTTAGTCAGTCGCTTCGTAGATGGTGAGAAGCAGTTAGGGAGCTAACCGTAGCAATCATTGGCAGTTAATGAACGCTGACGATGGTACTTAGAAGCGATAAAAGGAGCAGTGTTCATGCGAAATCCCGGAGCTCTTCCTAGTGTTGTCCTCAGCGGGACGCTTCATATAGTCTTAACCCATGGATCGTGATTGCGTAAATGTTGGCGTCTTTGGTTCATTAAAATTGAAGCTAAATGGCCCAGTGCTGAAGATGTTTGAGGATTGCTTTTCAATGCAGAAACTCGATTACCCTTGTCATAGCAGAAAAGTAGTAGAAACGGTGTGGCATTCAGTACCCTGGTAATATTGAAAAAAGGACGTCTCTTTTCTGTGCGAACTATCCACTGGTTCTGCGTGTTATCATCCGGCCTATTTGAACCCTATGCAGTGGAGCGCCAGATCTCGGAAGGGTGTGCTAACGTGGTATGTCGGCAGAGAAAACAATAGAAGAACTTTAAACGCAGTGAAAGATTGTATGCGTGAAGAATATTTGTCTTAGACACACTCGGTCTGATAGTTACTGCACATCAGATAAAACACTGGAATGCCGTTTCATTCTTTCGGGAAGTATCAGCAGTGTGAGACCTGGTTCAACAAGCCCAAACGGTTCTGAGACCATTTTACTTGATTGCAACAAACGCTTTCAATCAAGCTAATCTAACGAGTTCTGCGTTGGAGATCGTTACGCAGAGCAAATCCAACTGTAGAGAGATTTGCTAACAATCACTAATGTAACAGTAGCACCAACCATGTCGCCGGAGGCACCATGTCTGCCAATCAATTAATAAACAGGATAATTTAGCAGGTTTTGTGATAACGGATTTATATTATAAACAGGTACACTTTTCAAGTACTGGAAAACCGCTATTTCGGATGGAGGGTTACAGCGTGCGTTGTTGATATTTTTCCTTGGTAATGCTTATTCGTGTTTCAGAGGATGAGTGAAGATTTTGGTATAATTTAGCACATACAGTATTGTCACTCTCAAACATCAGTCTTAGACTAGTCTGGCAAAGCATTAGACGCCGGCGTTTCGACATTTTGGGTCTCTTCAATGGTGCGCCTTTCAGTGAACCCCCGCCGGGTTCCGCTCCAATGACTTCTGGATGCCAGAAGCTAGTGCCACTTCGATATGGGTGACAGCTGCGGACCTGCGTGATTGATAGTTGACTATGACATAGCCCGGGTGCACATTTCGTACCTGGCATGGTAGCGGAGGATAAGCCGGGCTACATCATTGTCAAGTGTCAATCACGCAGGTCCGCGACTGCAACCCACGGTGAAATGGCACTAGCTGCTGGCATCCAGAAGGCACTGGGGCGGAACCCGGCAAGGGTCTGCTGAAAGGCGCACCACTAACAAGACCCAGAATGTCGAAACGCTGACATCTGGTGCTTTTCTAGACTATCCTAAACTTGCCGATTTAGAGTGACCATTTTGAATTAGCTGAAGGATTCGTCTTTACTGCATGGAGCTCTATTATGGCTGACTCAACAACAGAGCTGCTATACTCACAAATATTCACACTTGTCGTTTTGGGTCCCTGATCTCTTTTAGTACAGAAGCGAGTTAAAAATCTTCCGAGTTGGCAAACATAGCAAATGTCTGGGTGGAGGAATGTACCAATCTTGAGGGAACTTCAGAGGTTGGAAGACGATCATTTGCCCTTCAAGTTCTGGTTCTAAACGGTGACAGCCGCCAACTTGTGGTGGAGCTTTAATTTTCTCTGCTAAAAGTCCCCAGAAAACCAGGTCTTTGCGCTCCGGGGATGCATTCTTGCAAAGCAAAACCTTAAAGGAACCGACTGAAGCGCACTATCAGGAGTGAAGTATGCGACCTGAATCGACTCAACATGGAAGACTAATCTTTCTGGGCACAATGAAGATTAATAGCTTGGAAACTGTCTGTGGAACTTGGGTTTGGTGCTACGTGACCGTTATTATTCCTTATCAAGATTCCTCTAATTAATTCCGAAAATGAAGGTGAATTTGAACTGCTAAACTAGTAAGCGTGTCCTGTGTGATCATACGAGTTGCGACGCCCGTTGCAATTCAAAGCAGTATAATCACTGATTGGAGGTTGCTGCGCAGGTATTTACTTTCTAGACTGACAAATGGTAGCCAATCGCACGAAAATAAGCATTTAAAGGTCTGTAATGCCATTAGATCTTCGGGGGCGCAGCTGCGCAGGATTGACGGTTTCAGCGAGTTTGGTAACCTAGCCTGAGAGCACTAGTCAAACTGAATCATCACCGTCTTGACTGGGAGCACGGTTGGCGATTGCTCCATGTAAAAGAGGAAGTCATGATAAAAACAAGTCGTAAGATTTAGCTTATTACATGGCTTCTCTTTGTACACACGCTAGTATCTTCATGTTTAAGTAGCCAAGGCGTAAATTTCTCCTTGACGATAAAATTCTCGCAATCAATATTGCGAATGTTCACCTTGCCACTTATACTGGTAATGACTGGGTGCGGGTTTGTAACTTAGGAGTCTATATAAACGTCTTAAATCTATTCAAAAAAAATCTGGTTGCTTGGAGCATGTTCGCTAGAAGTCCGGTGACCCAAATGGGAACAAGACGCATGAACTCCAACTGCATTATTCGGTGGCAGCCGACTATGGTAGCGTGATAAAAATAATGTGCGTGACTGAGTATGGTTCACGCGATCAAGCAACTCGCGTAAGTTTGTTGAGGTTAGAGGCAATTTTGTAGATAGTGACAAAATTCCATTCTTAGGAAATCATATGAAAGCTGTTAAACTGTGTTTTATTTACTCACCCACTTGGAAGGCGTCTTGCATTATGGACGAACATGTCGGACGTCTAGCATGGCCTCGGTGTTTTGTCAACGCGCAAAGCCTGCGTTATCATACATGGCGTTTCCGTATTTGGGAGTATCTACCGGTGGAGGGTGGGTTGTAGCCTGCTGCGTAACTGATGGATTGTTCAAGTAACCACCGTGAACTTTGTACAGAGCAAACAGGAAGAATGCGTCGATGCCATAAACGATAACACTCAGCGCACACATCACCTAGAAAGAAAAACATGGTTTGAACTAATAACTGCCTCAGCATACCGTTGTACTCGACCGTATTATCAATAAACTCATAAATGTACTCAGCAAATGTGATCAACTTAATTTCAGGTGTTTTTGTGTTTGGAACTGCAAATTCCATTAAAACCCCACTCAGTGTTGATGCATACCTCAGCCATTCCGATTACTAGGGCAGCATTGAAAGTGGATATATTATAAACGGAAGTCGCTCAACCACACTTGTTGGCTGATGAAATATTTCTTTCATTGACATACTAATTACCTCTGAACGTCCACGGTGGCATAGAGAATACACGATGCTGTAAGCGAAAGTTTGGCCTATATTCTAATGGGCCAACCATATTGCTGCACTATCGAAAAGATTTTCATGGTACGGAGTTACGTGATGTGCACGGCCAAGTGCACTTGGATATGTTGTTGTGAGTTTCATTAAGCCATGCAATACAGACAATTTGCCTCTGTAAGACCCTAATAGATTAGATAGTAAATAGTAGCGTCACAAACCAACCACAATATTAAATGAAGTAACCTTCATGCGATGCCATGCAGGTGTGCAAGTAGACAACAACGACAACGAAAAGGACCAACGCTAAATCAGTCAAGGCATTTACCCCTTGCTACCACTTCTCTTCAAACCGCACTCATAGCATGAGTTGATAAATGCTCTTTCAGTCAGCCAAAGTAGGTTTGGAACAGCTCCTTTCTTCTAAAAATTGTGTGATTTTTAAGTGTATACATGTGAAGCACTATTCATGTTAGCAATCGTGCTAACGGATGAAAACTCACATATCCTAGATATTATTAAAACTATATTGTCTTTGTGGGGTGCATGTTCAATTGAAAAGTTAGCCATTGTTATAACCACGAGGACGATCGATTGAATAGTAACCGATTGTGAGAATGGTTACCATAGTTACAGCTAACTAATCGCGAATAGGCAATCCCCAATAATCGTGAAGACTTAAACACCTTTCAATCTGTCGACCAATCCCAGTTTATATTTGCAGTAGGAAAAATCACTAGGATGCAAAGTCGGCGTGTCAATTGAAATTCAGTCAATAGAACTCACGGCAGTGGCTATAATAGTTGGACGGCCTCCAGTAGTTGCGGCCGCCACGATCATTGCGATCAGCTGGAAGCATCCGCAGATGGTGATACATACGAATTCCTGCAGACGAATTGCGATAAAGTTGGATGAATTTTCATGTGGAAGTAACGTTGAGCCGCATAGTAGCCTACCGTAATAAAAATCTAATTAAATGTAAAATGCAAGATAGTAAATCTAGTGTAAAATGCCCATTTACGGCCTATCACAAGAGGGAGCGTAAGCGTTACGCTTGAAGCAAACAATTGTATTTGATTCCTTCAGCATCCGGCTAACTTCAATAATATACGTTTGGAAAGCCATAGTTCAGTAGAAGATAAATAAATTAAACACCGCTTGGACGAAAGTAAACAGCTATCGGAACACGCGTCTGGCGACCAAGTGCTTGAATGTACAAGGTACCGCTGAGCAAGATCCGATCCGTCTCGGTTGATTTCAGACCAAGATAGTTGCACTGAGTTGACGAGTCTTTTCTGAATGCATATATTCGGTTTTGTCAATCTGATGCATGACATTTCAGTCGTAGCAATCATCTGTGCCCCTGAGCGATAACTTAGTTGAGGCGGTGTACTGTACCGGGTTTGGGAAGCAGTAAGTTTGTCTATTTGATGCCCAGCGCAAATCAAGTGGTTGATTATTACACTCACATTAGTGCGTTCACGCTGACTGATGAGCGGATTCGTCAAATGTTCCTTGATTCGCGTTTTCAGGTGCCTGGTCGTACGTACCATATACCTATCCTCACAGGAGCATGTGAACCGGTATATAACAATGGTTTGGTGTCGATCGTGCACTTTATCTTTGAATCTAGGAACAAGTAGCAATTCGCTCGTGAAGGTAACGTTAAGTTGCACTCCATTTAATGTGTCTGCATGTTCGTATCAGTCGTCTTGTACATAGTTTATCCGCCACATAACCCTTAAGGAAGTTGGAGAAAAGTCTGATTCTACGCAACCGTTTGCACGGTGAATCTCGGACTACTTGGCAACATAGGATAGTCGATGAAGCGTTCTTTATAGACGTTTCCGAGAAGCCACTGCTTTACTCTCCTCGGTTCATCTTCAGTTGTGTCCTTGCTTCAGATATCGCTCACACGGTTTGTCCGCGTGTAACCGTGCCCTTTCGTGGCTTAGTGGAACAAAATTGAAAATTCGTGTGTTGCTCTGTCCAGTATAGTTTCTGTATCCTACTGTTTGGAGTGCTCCGCTACCTTTTCTTCTTAAGCCTGCATTCAGGAAATTCATTTGGTTGTTTCTTTATCTATTGTGAATAAGGTGTTGGTATGAGCACGGTTGAAACTTTCGACGGCATTCAGCAGGCTGTAAATCTATCGCCCAAATGTTGTCATTAGGAGAAAACTACTAATTATTCTCAGCTTCAAACTTGCATGATCAACACCAATTCATGTTATATGCCAGTTCACATGCTCCTGTGAGGATAGGTATATGGTACGTACGACCAGGCACCTGAAAACGCGAATCAAGGAACATTTGACGAATCCGCTCATCAGTCAGCGTGAACGCACTAATGTGAGTGTAATAACCAACCACTTGATTTGCGCTGGGCATCAAATAGAAAATTTACTGCTCCCAAACCAGGTACAGTGCACCGCCTCAACTAAGTTATCGCTCAGGGGCACAGATGATTGCTACGACTGAAATGTCATGCATCAGATTGACAAAACCGAATATATGCATTCAGAAAAGACTCGTCAACGCAGTGTAACTATCTTGATCTGCAATCAACCGAGACGGATCGGATCTTGCTCAGCGGCACCATGTGCGTTCAAGCACTGGATCACCAGACGCGTGTTCCGATAGCTGTTTACTTTCGTCCAAGCGGTGTTTGATTTATGTATCTTCTACTGAACTATGCCTTTCCAAACGTGCGTTTTTGAAGTTAGCCAGAAAATAATTGTTTGCTTCAAGCATAATGCTTCCGTTTCTTATTAGGTTACATACAGTAAATCGATACCTTTACCAGGCTAGACTATTAGCAAAATAACGCTAGGGTAGACCTACTCAGTGTCTCTCGAAAACTTCACTACCGAGTTTGGAATTTTCTTATCTGTATAGTATGGTTAACATTGCAATTTTGACAGGCACTTTCCGATGCTATCCTTCTTTTGTCGGGCGCAGAGTCTGGGTTTATGCGTTGCCGATGTTTGTAATCGCTCGTAGTGTTAACACATGATAGACACTTGAGCATGATGATATTGCCAGTAAAGCACGCAGATATCTTTGGTTTATGAACCACAAACTTCACTGTGTTTTGCCTCACTCAGGTGACTTTAATTTTAGTAAGCTTGATGAAAGCAAATAGCTCCGGATGAGATCAAGTGTGGACGAACAATGTTCTTTGTTTATGACTGAAAATGTGGAAAATTTCGCTCATTTCAATACACCGTTAGTTTGTCTTAAACAACGCGGCGGTGCTGACGCACTAAAAGTTGTACGACGCGGATAGCGCTTACTGAGGCAGATAAACTGGTGATTGTTGCACTATCTTTTCGAGCAATCCGCAAAGTTAATAAATGAAGCCGCCCTGTATTTTCCATTATTATTCTTATGATTATTATTATTATTATCGTATATGAAGGCGTTTTCTACAGTACCTTACTAAATCAAAGTGTGAGGTAGCACATATAAGCCATGTTCAAGTGGTATGTCGCGCTGACTACTTTAAAATTAATTTTGTATATAAAGTGAACTCATTGATTGCATGCAAGAGATATGAGGCAGACATTTCAAGTATTTTGCTCTTACAATAAGTCCAACTTTTGTTATGGAAGAACGAATGTGATTAAGAAATTGAATGAAATATTAGTGAAAATTGATGGTTTCCGCACAAGCCTTAATCGATATGAAACAACTACACAGAATTCAGGGACTTAAGTAATTTATCAGTTAATAATTCCAGGCAAGTTTGGAACAGAAGTTGCGACGTAGAGGGTTACACAGTAGAATCAAATACTGCAACTTTTAATCATTTGAATTCCTGCTTAGCCCGTCTGTATCAGTGTACAAATGTTACATGTGCCCACAAGAGATTGGTGAACCCAAGGTATTGTTCAGCGTTCAGCGAAACTGCTACCGGAACATAAACTTCCGTAGTCCGGTAGTATTTTGCAGTGAAGCAACGACATACTGTAGCAATTTAGAAAACTGACTTATAAACCGTAGAAGAAAATGGACTAAGTGATTATATCTTTGTAACATAAGGATGACGGTTTTATTTGAGCCTTTGAAGTTTCCTTCATGTGAACTTTGATTTTAATGGTCAGACGAACGATCTGGTTGGTGGATCCTCAATGAGATTCGAATTAATCTGGACTGCCCGAGAGGTTACATTTTAATAAAGGAATTTATTCAGGTAACGGCATGATGGATAAAACGATGCGATTTATATGAAGGGAATATCTTCGTTATATGTTAGTAACAAATATCATAAAATAGGCCAGTACTTTAGGATCAGAATCAATGCTATGTAGTCTACTGAGCAGGTGGAAATTACAAGAGACTTAATTCATAAACCTTCTATCATGGTCTAATTTGGGTTGATGCCGCAGGCCCTAAAAAGTATCATTAATTGCAGTGGTAAAGGTTAAGTAGTAATTTCTGCGGTCCAGCATCAAAGACTTTAGTTGATAGATGGAACACCTCAGATTATGTGAACAGATTGAGCTCACTACACCTGAATAGACCAAATAAGAACAACTCTTCTTGAACTGCAGCGTTTAGAGTAAAAAGCAATAGATAGCTTTAGTACCACTTGATAAATCACAAACTGACTCAGATGGGTAGAACGCAGTGTACTAGATGTATCTCTAGATGCGAGAAAGAACGAACTGCGATAAGATGTTGCCACAACG